CCTCAGGTTGTATATCTTACTATGGAAATAAATCTTATGTCGTTTATGATCTTTGTTCTAATTATTGCTAGACCAGAATTTAAATAACTTTGTAAGAAAGCCAAGATTCTATAATTTATGTGAGAGAAATCTGAGGTTATGTTTGAGGGAAAACGATGAAGTGTGTATAGGAACTTTCCTTCTACGATTCAGTGAAACTCGATCAACGAGAGATAGGATTTCATGGATGCTGATTTATATTTTTACTGTTAAATTTTTGTCTGCGTCCTATAAAAAGTAGCTTTTTATCATAGAGCACAAAAAAGACTTTTTCTAAGGAAAATCGGACGCAATACTTTTTTTTGTATAAACACTTTTAAAGGTCTCGAAACAGAATTTCCTTAAAACTTAAAGCTCATAAAGTGTTTAGTTTATCTTTAAGATTCTTGTATAGTCCAGCAAATGTTAACCGGAGTAATCCACAGAATGATTGTTGTAGGGGGAAGGAAAGGTCAAAAATTTATTAAAGCTAACAAAGCACTAAACAAATTTTTTTTTAACCAACTAATTGCAGTAATTAATTCTTAATTCTTCCTTCTCATCACGGACGAGTTCCCATTATGTGCCAACTGTGTCCTGTGCACTGTGGCATCTGCTGCACTTGCACCATTTTCTTTGTTACTCTTCTTGCGCGAATGATGCTCCTCAACTCTGTTAAGATTCAGCGCGAATCTCAGCTCTTTGACGAGCTCCGCCCAAAAAGTGATCTAGAGAAAAAGATTAATTTTTAGACCGCTTGGCTTGATTTCAAAATTTCTCACATTTTCCTTTTTCGCTAGTTGATTACATCTGATGAACAGCTCGATAACCACAGTACCAAAACCAAAGAGAAGTCCTGCTCCAAGGATTATGAATAGGCCAGCTACATTGTGCAAACTTAGCGAGAACCGTTGTTGCTTAACTGCGGAGCCGGTTCCAGAACAGGTCGCTCCTCTAAAGTAGGGTTTTGTTTAGAAATTTAAGCTTTTTCGATATTCAAAGAATAATTAGTGATTCATTCTTGTTATACGTTTCAAAACCATCTAGAGGTTTTTGGAATCTGTACGATAGAATAGTCATGATAGATAGTTTGTTGTGGTACTATTCTCTAAATTAGTAGAAACTGCAGAAAACAAAAAATTTGGTTTTTTCTCGTTAAAGTGAGTCACCGGCCTATCTGATTCTCAATT